GCCGAATTGTGGTTTAACAACCACAAACACCACATCCCCACATGGAGCGTCTTCAGGACGTCATGTGCTGAAGTGTTCGATCGGCCAGCTGTCCGCAAGCAGCGGGCAAACAGCGCTTGCGCGTCCGCTCTCAGCAAACTGGCGAAAACTTTACCAGCTATATTGAGGATGTCGTCGACGTGCGAATGACGCCATGCCCGAATCTGACAAGGTCAAACGCATCCTGAAGGGCATCGACGACGGCGCATTCCAAATGCTCTTGGCAAGAAATCCAAGACAGTTTCCAAAGTCGTCCGCTTGTGTGAGAGCTACGATGAGTTGAAGAAGCAATGCACTCTGACTCGGCAGCCTCAGCATGGTGGTGAGTCACTGTCCAGTTCCGACACCCTGCCTGACAATTCACCGTTGCTCCAGCAAGTTCGAGCCTTCGTCCGTGAGGAAGTTGCCCGTCAACTTTCCCTAGTGCCCTTCACTCACGAGACGACCACCCATCTACCTGCCCCCCTTCGCACAGCTATTTCAGAAGAGGTTGCCCAAGCTGTTCCTCTTGCGCACAACGAGCCGCCTCTATCTAGCCGTGTTCACTGCCAGCGCGTCGCGCAGCCGGTAGGCCCTCCTGTCGCCTATCCGCCAGCCGTGAGCCTGTGGCCGCACCCCTAACGTATGCAGCGCAGCCTGTGGCTCCTCCTGTCGCCTGTTCGCAAGAGATGCAGCCTGTAGCAGCGCCGTTCACATATGCAGACGCTGTGCGTAGGCTTCCGCAACCATCCTACACCTCGCGCTCAGAGCCCGCACACCCGGCTGCTTATACTGCGCCTTGGGCAGCACCACCAGTCGCCCAATCCTTGGAGGACGCCCGATAACCGACCGACATGCTACGCCTGCTTCACTCCGAACACGTTGCCGCTACTGCCGCCGTCGACCTCAGATGTTCGGCGACTATGTCCGATCGTCGCAACCCGGCAGCCAACCCTTCGCGCAATACGGGCCGGTCTCGTCACCTCGCTATGCCTCGACTTCGTGACGCTGCGCGCACCCTCTCCTCGTCGCCGATCGCCCTCCCCCAAGCGTCGCCGGCCCAGACCTTCTGACCAGGAAAACTAAGCACCGCAGTTCAAGAGGCAACAACTGCGCCATTTTTGAACTGTCTAAGCCCTCGCCCCTCTCCTGCTAACGTGGTCGCAGTAACTGTTGAAGGTTATTGTACTTTCTCCCTTGTGGACACTGGTGCCGCCGTTTCTGTTATTGCCGCTAATGTCTGCCGTGTATTACGTAACAGTCACGACGCCGCTTTCGGGACTGTCACTTCACGCCGCAAGTGCACAGCAAGTAACGCCTCTCGCAGCCTGCACTGCAAGAGTGTCCATCGAAGGCATTGTTTATATTGTGGAGTTTATTGTCCTCGCTGTCTGTTCGCATGACGTCATCCTCGGATGGGACTTCCTATCCTGCCATAATGCCGTCATCGACTGCGCACGCGCTGAAGTTGAGTTTTCACCCTTTCGTGATGTCCCATTACTTGACGCTCTTCATCGGCCGCCGAAGTTGTTCGTGCATGAAGATACCGATATGCCACCTGAAAATTTCGCACTTGTTCCAGTTTCATGCAACGCCTACACTGACGCTACAGTCTTTTTCATGTCTTCTGATATCTTCACGAGTCGTCGAGCTCTGCTGCTGCCTTTCGCAACGATTGACCTTGCCGCCGGAAGAAGCAATATGTTCATGCTCAACCCGCTTTCCACACCTGTCACTTTGCTTGTGGGGGAATGTCTCGGCCGCATGCAAAATCTCGACCCTTCGTCTTTGGTTGATGTTCCGGATGACTACTGCGACCACCCAAAATCACTGTCGGCCCTCGAGGAGTCGTCCAAGGATACGTTTTCCAGCGCCATCGCCGACACCTTCACTCCCACCGAACATGCCGACCTGCTTGATCTTCTGCATGAGTTCCGAAATTCTTCCGATGTATCGCAACCTCAACTAGGCCGCACGTCGCAAGTCAAGCATCATGTCGACACCGGCCTACACCAGCCACTGCATCAAAGACCATACCGTGTCTCCACTGAAGAGCACCGCGTCATCAACCATCAAGTCGAAGATATGCTTCGTAGAGACGTCATTCGACCATCTCACAGTCCCTGGGCGTCTCCTGTCGTCCTGGTGCGTAGAAAGACGGATCTATCCGATTTTGCGTGGACTTTCGTCAATTGAATAAGATAACCCGCAAGGACGTATATCCTTTGCCGCGCATTGATGACGCCATTGACACCCTTCACGGAGCCGAATTCTTCTCGTCGCTAGATTTGCGGTCTGGCTACTGTCAAGTTTCAATGGCTGAAGCCGATCGCCAAAAAACCGCATTTATTACACCTGACGGACTATACGAGTTTAACGGCATGCCCTTTGGGCTTTGTAACGCGTCCGCCACGTTTGAACAACTTATGGATAATATGCTATGTGGCCTCAAGTAGAATATGTGCGCCTCTGCTACCTCGACGATGTCGTAGTTTTCTCGCCAACTTTCCTACGCACCTCCTTCGCCTCAGGCACGTTTTCACTTGTCTGACCAACGCTGGCCTGCAGCTTAACCTGAAAAATTGTCGCTTCGCTGCACGCCAGCTCGTCATCCTAGGCCACATCGTGTCGAAGCACGGCGTATTTATTACCTGACCCAGGAAAACTTCGAGCAGTCGCAGAATTTCCCAAGCCGACGATCATGAAGGAACTTCGCAGTTTTGTAGGCCTATGCTCTTATTTCCGGCGCTTTGTTTGCAATTTTGCATCCATCATGTCACCATTAACCCAGCTTCTTCGCGGTGACGTGAACCTCTCCTCCTGGTCCCCTGCATGTGACGTGGCCTTCACTACTCTGCGCCGTCTGCTCACCTCCCTACCTATTCTTCGCCACTTCGACCCAACGGCTCCTAGTGAAGTGCACATCGACGTCAGCAGTGTCGGGCTAGGCGCTGTCCTCCCTCAACGAAAGCCCGGCTATTCAGAATACGTTGTAGCTTACGCTAGCCGCACTCTGACGAAAGCCTAAACTAATTACAGCGTGACAGAAAAAGAGTGTTTGGCTTTGGTGTGGGCGCTTGGAAAGTTCCGGCTGTACTTATACGGCCGCCCGTTCGATCTAGTAACTGATCACCACGTGCTTTGCCGGCTCTCCATACTGAAAGACCTTTCTGGCCGCCTGGCGCGATGGGCACTTCGCATCCAGGAGTACGACACTCGCGTCGTATACCGCTGCGGACGCAAACACGCTGACGCCGTCCCGCTCACCTTTGCCACCAGATCCGACGTGCGAAAACACGTGCCTCCAGACCTTGTCATTGTTAAATCTTTGCTACCAAACAACGTCGTGACCCGTGGATCGCATCTCATCTCGTATATCTATCCGGTATGCCCAACCTTCCAGTATCTCGATCCCTTTGACGTCAAGTTTTCCATTTTGCCATCCGTGATCAACTTCTTCATCGACGCAACTTTCTCCTGATGGCCGCCGGTGGCTACTGGTCATTCCACGCACTTTACGATCGCAGGTATGCGCCTCTCTTCACGACGATCCACAATGTGCCCACGCCGGGGTGTTCAAAACATATGAACGCCTTCGCCATCGCTATTACTGGCGCGGCATGTACAATTTTTTACGCAAATTTGTACAGTGCTGTCCTGACTGCCAGCGACGCAAATCAACACTGCTACGTGCGAATGGCGAATTGCAGCCACTTCCGTGCCCTGCCAAGCCATTTGATCGCGTTGGCGTTGACCTCTACGGCCCCCTTCCATTGACACCAGACGGCAATCTGTGGATTATAGTGGCGGTCGACCATCTAACACGCTACAATGAAACAGCCGCTTTACCGAGCGCTACCGCTCAGGATATCGCCTCTTTCATTTTTACGTCGCTTTATCCTTCGACATGGCGCACCTCGAGAGCTCCTTAGTGACAGAGGCTGCGCCTTCCTCTCCGAGGTCGTCGGAGCTCTGCTTTCGGAATGCCACGTCATTCATCGGAAAACAACAGCATACCACCCGCAGACTAATGGGCTAACGGAACGGTTTAACCGCACGCTGGGTGATATGCTCTCAATGTACGTGGCATCTAATCATAGCAACTGGGACCGTGTTCTCCCATACATTATTCGCATATAATACTGCAATACAAACAACCACGGGACTTTCACTTTTCTTTCTTCTTTATGAACGTGACCCTTCCCATACAATTGATACTCTACTTCCCTACCGTCCCGATGCTTCCGAATGTCCACCTATCTCCGATGCTGCTCGACAAGCCGAAGAGTGCCGCCAGCTCGCCCTAGCGTTCAGCTCGGACGAGCAGCAACGCCGGAAAGAAAACCGTTGCACCTCTCTTCCGGATCCCAGCTATGCCCCAGGGTATCTCGTGTGGCTTTGCATCTCATACCAAACTCCAGGACTCTCATCAAAACTTGTCCCCCGGTACGAGGGGCCTTACACCGTTTTAGAGAAAAATTCTCCGGTTAATTACCTAATTGAGCCAGTTTCCCGATCGGATGACATGCGCCGGCGTGCACGTGACAACGTCCATGTTTCCTGCCTAAAACCGTATAATAAGCCTCTCCCTGAAACTTCTTAGGTTGCCAGGATGGCTCCTTTTTCAGCGGGGGCGATTGTGAAGAAGAATATGTGCCTGCAGCAAGCAGCATCGCCAACGCCCGGCTCTCTTTGACGGCTTATAAACCTCTTTACAGGCCCTATAAAAATTGGTTATTGGTCTTTAAAAAAAAAAAAAACATTGAAGCACTTCGTTGCTTCGTAATTTATTCAGATGGTTATGAGCCTGGCATTTTCACCAAAAAGAATGTTCACTGAAATGTGGAGTTTCCGTCGAAGTTTCTGTCTATGTATGATGTACTTGGGGCAGTCAAGCGACAGATGATGCAGATCCTGGTCATCGTGGTCACACAAACATGTTGACAATGACACACAATGAAATAACTCTGGATAAGCAGTTCCATGATCTATGTAGATATGAATGTGTGAACAAAAAACAAACTTTTTATTAACAAAAACATGAACAGCTCATTCAGTGGCTTCCGAAGTCTCAGACTTGCAGATTCCAGGCTTCAGCATTTCAAAATTAACAACCTGTAAAAAATGAAATCTGGGAATGTAAAATGAAGCCATTACAAATGCTTAAGACGCATTCTGTATGTCACTGCTATATATCCTGAACAAAGCTGTTTCACAATTAGTAGGCTACAAAAGACTCTTTCCTTAGTTGCCTACTGAAACAGCCTATAAAAAAGCACAACAAAATTCAGGTTTCTCTGTATCATTAATTTGGGCCACACATTAATGATAATGGCCATTGAATATTCTAAATTCTTAGAAAGATCAAGAACAGGTCCATTTGCTCGCTGTATTTTAGCACAGCATTTGAAAATGCACTCTCCCACTGCTTTACAGGGTCTAGAAGCAAGCACAGTGTATACAGGATTCCACTGTTAGAGAACATCGAAAGCCACTTGGTCCCACCACCGGCCAGCTGTAGCAATAAGTTGTGACACAAGTGCACCATAAATGGTGCACTTGCCATGTCCACTACTGTCCGCTCACTTGATAAAAAAGCACCGCACATGGTGCTCACTGTGCCTGCGCAAAACTATTCGCAGCCGCCAGCAGGTGGTGGTGCCGAGCAGCTGCCACCCACTCCGATGTTCTCTTTAATAGTGCACCGCTATATACATCCCTTATCACGATTCTAAGACCCCTCCTTGTGTACTATAAGCATTTGAACAAGCAGAAAGCACAATTCACATGATTTCATGGCATGAAAATGAACCATGTTAGCCAAGACATTCGGAAATAAACACATCCTTCAAACGCTATCTATATTCCACCTTTTAGCACCAAAGCAAGCATTCAAACGTACACTGTAATCTTATTCTTTTACTACCTAGGCATAAAAATTGGGCCAAGAAACCAAAAGAAATCTTTCCACTATTTATTACTGCAATAGCAATTATATGGGCAGTCTCGGCTGGTTTTTCGCCGCCGCCGCCATCATTCACATGTGTGTTTGTGTATACACAAAATCGAGGATGCGCTCATTCTGCGAAGTGAACATCGCCTTTCTGGTCGAGGTCGACTGCGCAAGCTTATCTCGTGAGCGAACAAAAAGGCTTATGGTTGCCGCGCTATCGCGGCAATGATCAACGCGTCTTGTGCCCCCACAGCAGGTGGGAGCTTCTACAGGCTGCGCTCTTAACATGAAAAAATGGTGCGAAGAGTGTACCTGAAGCGGCAGTGTTCTCTTACACCAGCGTTTTGTAGAGTTACGCGAGATCGCCTCACTTCATATAACATTGCAATTCGTCACTATCACATTCATTGCTTCAACTTTTCAGTGAAACTGATTTTGTGCAATCATCCCAGCCAAAGTCACGAACTTGCACTTGAGAACATGCACACGAGTATACACAGCGACCAAGAAAGCTTCTTGAGACAAAGGTGTCCAGCGGCTATGCATAATTTGCAGGGTCTGTATCATTTCTCATGAGTTATTTGCGTCCATCTGTACCTGTGATTACGTTTCGTATGTCATTTGTGCATGAGAAACGCGGGGCACATTTATATCTGCTGGCCACTCTTCGTGTGACGTTCGGATTTGTTGCTATTGTGTTCGTTGCTTCGCCTTTGCGGCAAAGCTGCGACTTTTCTTTTCACCTGCCAAATGCACAGCACCAACAGAGACCTCTAAGCTTGGCTTGGCTTTATGCCTCATAAATACTTCCTCTTGGTGAGTTGGTTCATTGCACAGCGAAGGAGTAACAGCGTGAACACCCACCCACAAAAAAGACGTGTGTCCGTATCAGTATATCTGTGAGTGTGCATTCGTGCTGTTCATGGATGTCAGCAGGAGGAATGCAAAAGAGGCACTTGCCCCCCTCAAGCTTCACCAGCACTTGCCGTCACCAAAGCTACACCAGTGCTCTCCCACCCACGATGAAACACTGGTTTGCAGCCCCCAAGAGAAAATCCTGTTGACAACCATGGTATTGTTACTCCTTTGCTGCCTCGTAAAAAGCCCCATTAAAGTTCTTTGCATTCCTTGGCTTCCAAAATTTCACTGAAAAACTTGAAGCCGGCAGTTGATAACACCAAGTACTCTGGCTCCAGAACTGGAATGAAGCTGAGTTAAACATTTTGAAGAGATGAAGCTTCAAGAAAATCCTTGAAGCTTTAACTCTTGAAAATGAAATGACATCAAGCAGGCATCAGCAACGTCCTATCATTAGCAGTTACAAGCACGTGGAAGATCGTCTAATTCAAGTTTCCAACAAACAGGTTAATGCCCTTTGTACTGCCAGAACTGTCAAAATGTGTACCTAATTTCCCATAGATTTCCTAAAATATGGACTTATGACAATTGACTCATCATCCATGTTGGTACAAATTACAGTGACAATCATACACTTGCTACTAATAGTGAAAGGGTTAGGTATTGCCAAGCTATTCTCCTTTTCTGTACTCTTTCAATTATTCCAGGCGCTTCAGGTGTGTGGTGGCACGTGGCATCTTCCAAGCATCTGGCTTCAAGTCGACGTCAGACCCTCTGCTTTCTGTGAATGCTGTTTTAGACACGTGAGCATGTATTGGCAGTAAAGGCGAAAATTCAGGAAGCAGAAAGTGCACAAATTGATCTGCTTTACTGATGAAATGAGCGAACAGCTGCACACATTATAGATGGCAGCTACTAAGAAAAAGTCACAGAGGCACATATTGGCGGCTTTTAAAAATTCTATTTTTACGATTAGCCTAATGTGGATATTCTGCGTATGTCTAAATGTCCATAGACAATCAAAAGAAGTCTCAACACGGCAAACCTGCAACATGAAGCTGAAGATGTAGCAACAAAAATTATGCCCACACACACTGCTCTTAAATACGAAAGGCCACAAGCCAGTACCTAGCCTTCCTTTACTGCAATAGGAGGCTTCATCTTCATCATCATCATCAGCCTGACTATGTCCACTGCAGGACAAAGGCCTCTCCCATGTTCCGCCAGTTAACCCGGTCCTGTGCTTGCTGCTGCCAATTTATACCCGCAAACTTCTTAATCTCATCTGCCTACCAAACCTTCTGTCTCCCCCTAACCTGCTTCCCTTCTCTGGGAATCCAATTAGTTACCCTTAATGACCAGCGGTTATCCTGTCTACGCGCTACATGCCCGGCCCATGTCCATTTCCTCTTCTTTATTTCAACTATGATATCCTTAACCCCCGTTTGTCCCCTAATCCACTCTGCTCTCTTCTTGTCTCTTAAGGTTACACCTACTATTTTCCTTTCCATTGCTTGCTGCGTCGTCCTAAATTTAAGCTGAACCCTCTTTGTAAGTCTCCAGGTTTCTGCTCCATAGCTAAGTACCGGCAAGATACAGCTGTTATATACCTTCCTCTTGAGGGATAGTGGCAATCTACCTGTCATAATTTGAGAATGCTTGTCGAATGTGCTCCACCCCATTCTTATTCTTCTAGTTACTTCAATCTCGTGGTTAGGCTCTGCTGTTATTACCTGCCCTAAGTAGACAGTCTTTTACAACTTCAAGTGCACTATTACCTATCTCGAAGCGCTGCTCCTTTCCGAGGTTGTTGTACATTACTTTCGTTTTCTGCAGATTAATGTTAAGACCCACCTTTCTGCTCTCCTTGTCTAACTCCGTAATCATGAGTTGCAATTCGTCCCCTGAGTTACTCAGCAATGCAATGTCATCGGCGAAGCGCAGGTGACTAAGGTATTCTCCATTAACTCTTATCCCTAACTGTTCCCATTCTAGGCTTCTGAAAACCTCCTGTAAGCACGCGGTAAATAGCGTTGGGGAGATTGTGTCCCCCTGCCTTACACCCTTCTTGATTGGTATTTTGTTGCTTTCTTTATGAAGCACTATGGTAGCAGTTGATCCCCTGTAGATTTTTTTCCAGAATGTTTATATATACTGCATCTACGCCCTGATTCCGCAGTGTCTGCATGACGGCTGATACCTCCACTGAATCAAACGCCTTCTCGTAATCTATGAAGGCTATGTATAGTGGTTGGTTATACTCTCAGCATTTCTCTATTACCTGATTGATAGTATGAATGTGGTCAATTGTTGAGTAGCCTGTTCGAAATCCTGCTTGTTCCTTTGGTTGATTGAATTCTAATGTTTTCTTTACTCTGTTAGCAATTACCTTTGTAAATAGCTTGTATACTACAGAGAGCAAGCTGATCGGCCTGTAATTCTTCAAGTCCTTGTCATCTCCTTTTTTATGTATTAAGGTGATGTTAGCGTTCTTCCAAGACTCTGGTACCCTTCCCGTCAGGAGACACCTCGTAAACAGGGTGGCTAGTTTTTCTAACATAATCTGTCCTCCATCTTTCAGCAGATCTGATGTTACCTGATCCTCACCAGCAGCTTTGCCTCTCTGCATGCTCTCCAAAGCTTTTCTGACTTCTTCTATTATTACTGGTCGGGTGTCATCTGGGTCACTGCTAGTTTTTATAGTATTAAGGTCGTGGTTGTCTCGGCTACTGTACAGATCTCTGTAAAGCTCCTCCGCTATTTTAACTATCCTATTCATATTGGTAGTTATTTTGTCTTCTTTGTCCCTTAGTGCATACATCCAACTTTTGCCTATCCCAAGTTTCCTCTTCACTGCTTTGACGCTTCCTCTATTTTTCAGAGCGTGTTCAATTCTCTCCATGTTATACCTTTTTACATCGCATACTTTACGTCTATTAATCAACTTCGAAAGCTCTGCCAGTTTTATTTGGTCTGTTGTACTTGACACTTTCATGATTTGACGCTTCTTCATTAGGTTCTTCATTTCCTGGGAAAGCTTGCCAGTGTCCTGTCTAACTACCCTGCCTCCAACTTCCACTGCACACTCCGTAATGATACTCGTCAGATTATCATTCATTGTATCTACGCTAAGGTTGGTTTCCTCACTAAGAGCCGAGTACCTGTTCTGCAGCGACACTCTGAATTCCTGTACTTTCCCTCTCAGTGCTAGCTCATTGATTGGCTTCTTGCGTATCAGTTTCTGTCGTTCCTTCTTCAAGTCTAGGCGAATTCGAGACCGTACCATTCTATGGTCACTGCATCG